TCTGGTAGCATAGTGGCTAAGACACTTGCCTGCTAACCAGACGGCTGGCGGTTCAAACCCACCAGCCACTCCTCGGAAGGAAGGTTGGGCAATCCTGCTTCCGTACTGATACTGCCTCGGAAACCCAAGGAGGGGTCTCTATGAGTCGGGTTTCGACGGCACATAACAACAACAACAACAAACCCTGTGAAGTAAGAGGTGACCCTGTCAGCACAGTTTATCCCCATCTTTCCATTTGTGCTTTCATAATAACCATTAGAACACACCGGAGACATCTGACGAAGTCTGGGCACTGACCAGCCCAATGGGAAAATCCGTCTAGCGGTGTGGACAGCAAGTTTAACCAGATTGAAGAAAACCACTGAAACTTTGCTCTTACCCAGAAATCCATGTCCGTTATTTTTAAAATTCAAAATACATCAAGTTGTAGGAAAAGAAAATAAATAGATAAAGCCAAAAACACAAACTATCCACCATCCTCCCACCAAGGAGAGCCACTTGCAGTCCCTGGACGACGATGGCGTCTTTCTGCTGTGTGGCGCTGCTAGTCCCGAGTTCACTGGGATTAAAGGTCCGCGTGCCCACTCCCCATCTCGTGGGGGCCCATGATGCCCTGGGCCAGGGCTCCGGTGGTGAGCACTGGGCTCCGCTGCAGTGAACACACAGCCGCGAACCTCCCTCCACGCTTCTCACCGAGCCTGGCCAGCTGCTTGCTCAGGACAGACTCCCACAGACACAAGGAACAAGTGTTACGTCGTTAATCAGAGAGAAGGTAGGAAGACAGTACAGAAAACGGGAAGCCCGTGGGCTAGTTCCCACGTGAGGCGGAGCCCTTGTGGGGTCAGCGGCAGCAGCTGGCTCGGGCGGACTTACCAGCTCATTCCTCTCATCCGCCAGGAGCGTGTTTCTGTCTTCCAGCTTCCGCACCACCGAGTTCAGCTCGGCGATTTTCAGTAGGAATCTCCTCACGTCCCGCTCGTCCATGTGCTGATCCTAAGCAGGCACAGATGTGCTGTCAGGAGCAGGACTCAGCACCAGAGACTTTCGCACACAACTGGCACATAGGTGAGCACCCACCCTGGGAGGGCCCCTGAAGCCAACAAAGGTGGACGGAGCCCCAAGTCCTGGCAGACTCACAGAAAGACTTCAAATTAAAGGGGACTGGCCCTTCAGACCCCCAGGCTCCCTAACATCCCCAAAGGCCATGGGGGCCGTCCTGACTGAGCCCCTGCCCCTCGACCGCCAACTCACCCCACGACAAGCGAGAACATCCCTCCAAGGCAGGGGCCACGTGGACATGACACTGCTCACCGCAGCCATTCACTCCAGCATTTGTTGAATGAACAAATGGAAGATCGAGTGGACTCTGCCTCAGGCTCTCTGGGCCTTGGTGAAGCTCCAAGCGTTTGCCCACAACGCCCCTCCCTTTTCTGCAGGCCAGGCTGCTGCTCATCCTACAAGCTCTGACGTGAACCCATTTCCCTCACTGACGGGCCCTTCTGGGCTCCTGCTCTACCCACCCTGATGCATCACCTCTGTCTTCTCCAGTGAGCTGCCAGCCCAGAGGACAAGGACAGCCCGCTCATCTCTATGCTCAGAGCCTAGCATGCACCTGACATGCAGTGAGCTTCACTCAACAAGGAAAGGGAGGGATAAAGGAGGGAAGGGGGGGCTGATGGAGGGAGGAGGGAGGAGGGAGGGAAGGAGGGGAGGGCTGATGGAGGGAGGGAGGGGAGGGAGGGGAGGGCTGATGAAGGGAGGGAGGGGAGGGCTGATGGAGGGAGGAGGGAGGGAGGGCTGATAGGGGAGGGAGGGGAGGATTGATTCAGGGAGGAGGGAGGGGAGGGCTGATGGAGGGAGGGAGGGGAGGGCTGATGGAGGGAGGAGGGATGAGTGGATGGAAGAGTGGATGGAAGGAGAGAGAAGGTGGTAGGAGGCTGGACGGCCCAAGAGGTGGCTGGGAGAAGGAGGGCAGAGGTGGGCTGGGTGGGCAGGCGTGGTCCAAGGGAGCAGTGCCGCACCCAGCCCACCTGGCTGCCCATGAGCTCCGCCATGTCTCCGATGCCCGGCGGGAGCTCCTTCTTGGGGCTGCCGTGGTGTCGCTCGGCCTCCTTGACTTGGACCAGCTGCTCATCCAGCGCCTCCTTCTGAAGCAGCAGCTTCTGGGTCTGGCCCGTCTGCACCCCCAGCTCCTTCTCCAGGGCCAGGATTACACGGTCCTTCCCCTTGATCTCCTCCATCTGGAGATGAGAGAGAGAACGCTAAGGCCAGGACTCACCCCGGGCCGTGGCCACAAACCTGGGCCCAAGGTCAGGGCAATGGGAGATGCGGCCCCACGTCCTCTCACACCTCCCCCCAGCATGGGAGCCTCGGTGGGTGTACCTGACCGAGCACCCTGGGTTCAACCTGGGCTCTCCCTCCGAAATCTATACCTGTTTAGCCTCCCCCCACCTTGGTGTTGTGGAGTCATCCCTCACACCTTCCCAAAGTGAGATCAAATCCTTACCCAGCCACCCCAGCCACTGTCCTCCCAGGCCCCCAGGGCGGGTGCTTCTCCCACCTCCTTTCCACCACCTCAGCCCCTCCGCCAGGAGTACAGCCCCATCCACTACCAAGCAGCTTTAGCAAAACTCCCACTGCCACCAAAGCCAGTGGGCATGGCCCTGCCTTCGATCCTCAATGTCCTCTCAGCCTCTGGCAATATCACCCCTGTTTTATCAGTCCCCCTGGGTTCCAGGAACCAGTATCCAGCTGCTCCCGACCCATGACTTCTGAGTCTCCACCTTCCCCACAACTGGACGAAAAAGCAGCATTGTGATAAAGATTGAAGTAGTCAGGGATTTCCTTTAACCTGGATTCACAACCAACACCCATAGAAGCAGCCATCAGGAAATCAGATGACATATTGCAGGCAGTAAATTGCTGCAAAAGATCTTTTTCAAGTGTTAAAGAGCAAAGAAGTCATATTGAAGACTAAGGGGCACCTGAACCAGGTTGTAGTATTTTCAGTCGCCTCATATGCATGTGAGAGCAGGACAACAAACAAGAAAGACGGAAGAAGAGTTGATGCCTTTGAGTTGTGGTGCTGACGAAGAATGCTGACAGCCTTGGAGACTGCCCTGGGGGCAGTTCCACTCTGTCCTCAAGGGGCGCTGCAGGTCGGAATCGACTCCACAGCAGTGGGTTTGGGTTTGGCCAGAAGAATGAACAAATCTGTCCTGGACGAAGCGCGGCCAGAATGCTCCTTGGAAGCCGGAATGGCCAGCCTTCGTCTCACCTACTTTCCTCATGCTGTCAGAAGGGACGACTCCTGCAGAAGGGCGTCATGTTTGGTACAGTGGAGGGTCGGAGAGAAAGGGGAAGGCCCTCAAGGAGTCAGCCTGACAGTGGCTGTAACGATGGCTCAAGAATAGTGAGAGTTGTGAGGCTGGCCCGGGCCTGGGCCGTGGTTCCTCCTGTTGTACGTGGGGTCAGTGAGTCGGAACCAAATCGACGGCACCCAACAACAGTCTTCCTGAGAGCCATATCTGCTCTGGCCGCCGTGACAGCTTGGGAGTCCCCAAGTCCTGGCCCTAGTCTCATTCTGTGTTCTCCTCAGGAACCCCCCCCCCAGTTTTGTCCATGTGCTCTCTTTCCCCGTCACCCACATGCAGGCCCATTCCCCCATCCCCACCCATTCTCTACCCCTCTCCCCCACAGTGGACACTGTGATGTCCCACCCTGACTTCCCTGAGATCCAAACTCACAAAACCATCTGCTGCTTGAATCTCTCCTTAGATCTGGGAAGACCCAGGGCTCCACCCATGTGGGTCTGAACCCACCCTCTTGTCCCCACCCCCATCACCTCAGCCTACCTCATCACCCCCACCCCCATCACCCCACCTCCCCCAGCACCCCAGCCCCATCACCCCCACTCCCATTGCCCTCACCCCCATTGCCCCCACCTAGGCACCAGTACCCCTGGGGCAGAGTGTCCAACAGAGGACAGTCTGCACATGGGTGGCCCAGGCACCTCAGGGTGGCCAAACACCAGGGCACCACCTCAGTTGCGTGCGACACAAAACCAACAGTTAGGAGATTCCCAGTCAGGCCATCAAACAGGAGAAGACCCAGCACCGGCATCATGTTTACTGACAAAAATCCAACAGCTCATCACAGCCAAGAATCATCCTGGCATTTAGGAATGAAGCCCCCACGGGAAAAGACAATGAGCAAGCCCTGGCCATCAGCAAGGGTGGCTACACAAATCCTGGGACAAGGTCCACACGATGCCACGTCCGGGCATTACTCCTTCACACATGCTCTACATGCTTGCAATACGTGCACCATGCATAAGGCATGCTACTATCATGGCCTAAGGCACTTGACTGCTAACAGAAAGCTGGCGGTTCAAACCCACCAGCCACTCCTCGGAAGGAAGGTTGGGCAATCTACTTCCATAGTGATACTGCCTTGGAAACCCAAGGAGGGGTTGCTGTGAGTCAGGTCTGACTCAACGGCACATAACAACAACAAGGACAGTGCCCAGTCTTTGGTCAGACGCCAGCTAGATGAAAGTATTTGCATGCAGTTAGCATTTAAACCTACCACCTGTCAGTGTGTACTGTGGTGGCAGCTTGTGAATTACTGTGAGGCTGCAGGCTATGGCAACAGTATTTCAAATCTCAGCAGAGTCACCCACAGAGGACAGGCTTCAGCAGCGCTTCCAGACCAAGAGAGAATCGGAAGAAAAGCCTGGCAATCTGCTCCCAAAAATCAGCCCCTGAGAACCACACAATGCAAGCAGAACACTGCCTGCCCACTTGCTTTGGACATGTCATCAGGAGGGGTCCATCCCTGGAGGAGGCCATCTTGTTTGGTGAAGGAGAGGGCCAGCGAGATCAAGGGAGACCCTCGGTGAGATGGGTCAGCACCACAGCCGCCATGATGGAGTCTAACCTGCTGGTGATGAAGATGACACGGGCCCGGGAACGTCAATGGGTCATCATGCCGGCGTCGGTGGAGATGACCCGGGACGAGGAACAGCCGTAGGTAACCACACCAACAATGAAGACAACAGGATGGGAATGCCCTAGGTCACCGTGCCGGCGATGGTGGAGATGAGCCAGGACGAGGAACGTCCATAGTTAACCACGCCAGCAATGAAGACAGCAGGATGGGAATGCCCTAGGTCACCATGCCGGCGATGGTGGAGATGACCCGGGACGAGGAACGTCCATAGGTAACCACGCCAACAATGAAGACAACAGGATGGGAATGCCCTAGGTCACCGTGCCGGCGATGGTGGAGATGACCCGGGACGAGGAACGTCCATAGGTAACCATGCCAACAATGAAGAAAACAGGATGGGAGTGCCCTAGGTCACCGTGCCGGCGATGGTGGAGATGACCTGGGACGAGGAGCGTCCGTAGGTAACCATGCCAGTGATGAAGACAACAAGACGGGAATGCCCTAGGTCACCGTGCCGGTGACGGTGGAGATGAACCGGGACAAGGAAGGTCCATAGTTAACCACACCAGCAATGAAGACAACAGGACAGGAATGCCCTAGGTCACCGTGCTGGGGACGGTGGAGATGACCCGGGACGAGGAACAGCCATAGGTAACCACGCCAGCAATGAAGACAACAGGACGGGAATGCCCTAGGTCACTGTGCTGGTGGAGATGACATGGAACGAGGAACGTCCTAGGCCACCATGAGTCACAGTCAACTTGATGGCAGCTAACAATGACATACGTTTAAATCCACTGACCTGGAGGGAAGCAAATGGCCCTCTGTGACATGCGTGGGTCTCACCAACCAGCTGGAAGCCTTAGGAGCAAACACTGAGGCTTCCTCGGGGGAAGCATTCCACCCACAAACAGACTTCCTGCCGAGTTTCCGGCCCGCCACCTGCCCACAGGTTCCCAGCTCACCAGCCACACGCACAGTCCCGTAAGCCAATGCCTCAAGACAATTCTGTTTCTCCCTTCCTGTGCAGAGCCCGAAGACAGTGACGCTGACTGCCCACTTGGCAGTCACCAACGGGGTTCAGGGTGCACATCGAGGCAGGATCCCAAAGCCACAGGACCTTTGGGAAGTCACTCAGCCTTGCCACGTCTCTGCTCAGGTGTGACACAGGACATAGGACTACCCACCTGTCTGGGGGCTGTTAGGACAGAATGAAAGAGCTGAGAGGGGTGGGATGGGGATGACCACTGGGGTGTGATCCTTAACCCCGGTCAACCTCCCTGCTGTCTCTCATGCCTCCATTCCTCACCTGTGAAATGGGGATGATTGGAGGACCTAACGGCAGGGCTGCAGTGAGGGTCAAAGGCGTGACCACGTGGGAATTCCCGGGTACATGGCAGGCACTCCATAAATGTTAGCTCGAATTAGAACCCTCACGGCACCTAGGAGGTCTCCCCTAAGACTGTCTCCCGTAGGTATCCAGCCATCAGATGAATGGCTGAATGGGCTGCTGTGGGTTTAACAGTGGCCCCAGGTGCCCTGAATGGAATAAGGATCTCCTCAGATGTGATTAAGTTAAGGTCCTCCAGACGGGATCATCCCACTTGGGGTGGCCCTACATCCAATGACAAAGCACCTTCTACAGACACCGAGGGGAGGGACTCAGATGAAAGGGGAAGCCATGTGAAGGCAGAGCAGAGACTGGAGGGATGCAGCCACAAGCCCAGGACGCTGGAGCCACCAGAAATTGAGAGACCAGGAAGGTCCCTCCTAGACCAGAGAAGCAGGGACTTGACCCCAGGAAGACGACGGGAACTGCTTCCTGTCCCCCGACTGCCCTTTCTTCTCGGCCAGCTTTAAGGCACATCGAATGTGCAAGTGATGCTCTGAGAGCCTGCTTGCTAACCCACTCCAGCTGATAGGGGATGAGACAGCAGCAGTGTCAGATGTGTTGCCACTGGCAACAGACCTGCCTGTGGTCCAGGGAAACAGACGTGTGGTCGTCAAGGTCTCTCCTGAGTGGCGTGGGAGGTGAGCCACACACGACTGAGAACACTGCACTGGGGACACGTGTGTTGTGCACCGAAATGGAAGTGGACCCTTCCAGACACTGAATTCTTGGTACTCTTTAAATTCAGCCAAGCAACTGCTTGTGTAAATACATTGGTCTCCCCCCGTCATTACCCATCAACGGAAATGTTTCCCATAGCAGAGAACATGTTTTCACATCTGTTACAGAGAGCCCGAGCTGTTCCTGAAAGCTTCAGCTCACTAAATCCTCACACCTCTG